GGAAGATTCAGTGGTGACACAACCACTAAGGCCAACGCTATGATGGAAGGGCCCAGGCATGACAGTCTTTGAAATGTCCAGTATTGCCTCAGCACACATGAGCTCTGCAGTTGTATTGGCCTTTGGAGGGGCAGGGGTTGCCTGCTCCTTCAAACTCTCTACTTTATATGACAAAAATACATTTTCTTTACATTTCAAGCTGTCTGAAAGTGTAGGTTTGGGTATAGAAACAGATGGAGTAGGCTGGAAAGATTTCACTTCTTTTTCTGTCGTGCTCATCTTTTTCCTCAGCTTCTGTCTTTTGATATTCTCTGCGCTTGTACTTGCAACATTGTGTATTATCGACTTACTGAAAGGTTTCTGCTTGTGCAGCGATGGCGTCAGGACGCTCTTCTCCTTGAGTTGTTCAAGCTGGTAGCAGCGAATCGCTTCTTCAATCCCGTCATCGCTACTCGAGTCAGACTCCTCTTTGAATGCACGTGGATCGAAAGCTTCTGCTGTGTTCTGCTGCTCCTTTTTCTCCAGCTGATATCTCTGAATGGCCTCCTCGATGCCGTCGTCGCTACTGGAATCATTCGAGTCTTCCACCTTAGCTGTGACGGGGTAACTGACAGTTTTGTTGATGAGACTCACTGGTTTAGAGGGATTTCTTGCTTGCTCTTTTGAACACTCCAAACTTTTGTTTGTGCTTTTATTCAAATCGAAGTTCTTAACTATATTTTCATTTAGAGATGCCTTGTTTTTAATACACTTTTTTATAGGTATGACAGTGGGTACTGCTGGGGTCTCGACTTTGAGGCTTTTTGAAAAATTGCTACCCGCAATCAAGAATGCATCGCTGTTGCTGTGCTGTTTGGACACCTCGGGAATGGATGGGTTTCTTCTCTGAATTTTAGATGATGGGAGAAAAGTCGAGCACGGTTCTGCTTTGCGTTTGTGATCATCCTTTTCTTTCAGGTATTCCAGTATTGCCTCCTCGATTCCTCTGTCCACAGAATCGTCGCTATCCGAGTCACTGCTTTCACGGATGTTTGGCGAGGAAATGTCAACATGTGGGTTTTCACTGGGGCTTTTAGTTTTGGACTTGACTCCCACATAAGAACCTGCTGCAACCTTGCAGACTTGGGGATGACCCTCCTGTCCTGATAGCACATTACCCTCGATCTCGTCGCCCATCTCGAGTGAGGACTGGGTGCTTCTAAGACTCTCTATGATCATCTGGACCTTGTCTGAGATAGGTGTGCCTCTTGTGGACAACTCTGTGTCAGAGTCATTGAAGCAAACTGGAGGGCTATAGCCTCCAGGCGGGCCACATGTTCTCCATTCTGTTTGCGTCACTGCGACAGGAGGTACATTCATCAAGTACATTCTAGTGAAGTATGGTGAGGTCCTCGACCACTGGAGCGCAGCTGACTCCGTTCAGTTACATTTTTCACTCTGTAATGAAGAAAAGAAAAGAAAAAAACACAGAAAGAAAAAATGTCACTAAAGTGATGATTATTAAAACTACAATTAGACTTCATCCAACCAAACTGCTGTTACTCAAATTTTACAGTCTGTAAGAGCTGAAAATCAGGTCCTTCATGCCCAATATTGCTGTCATGATTTATTGTAGCTTTAATACATACACACAGATAGCCTCAGATTACTTAAGCGTGGCTGAACCATGAGAGCATGCCAAGAAAAATGCCAAACTGCTCATGATGGGATTAATCCGATAGTAGGCCAGATCATCTGAAGGGTCTTCTGTGATTGGTTGTTGTTTTATGGCCCACTCTGCTGTTGGTATTACACTTTAACTGGGTCCAAATGAACACTTAGAACAACCAGTGGCCAGTTGAGTCAAGTCCACTCGAATTGTTATCATTTAAGACTCATTCAGGCTGATGGCAACATGATGACAATCTGCCTGCATTCATTATTTGGAAAGCAATTATTTGCAACAATTTTGACAATTTATCTGAGAGTGATTAGACTGGAACTTTTTGTAGAATGGTTGCCTACTATCAGGCAATCTGTGCAATGGTCTTGCAATCAAAAGTGGTCATGAGTGTGCAACACCCTCAATCTCTGGCAAACCATTTAGAAACCCCATGTTGAAATCGGTTGCACTATATGAAAAATTCATTTAAAATTTCTTTTCTTTTTTTGTTTATGGAAGGAGGTTGCTGTCCTGTTTTTACTGTGTCACTGAGCTATCAGCCTGCTCTGAATAGGAGGCAATTTGTCAAATAAGTGTGTTGGAAGGTTTTTCAGGTGAGCCTGTAAAAATACATCACAGCCACACGAAACAAGCAATATCATGCCATACTGATTTCTTTCCCCTTACCCCGAGTAGTAGTAATCAGCTAATAGACATTGAGCTGAAAAACCGTTTGATCTAGAGCAGGGCGATATGGCCAAAAATATTTATCACGATATATATTTGAAAATTTGCGATAACGATATAACTGACGATATAATTGATGCGAGACAAAATACAACTCCACAACATTACTAGCGCAAAAAGACAACCTTCCATTTATTTTCACTTAAACAAGAAGCTGGTTTTTATGTACATTAAAGCTTTATAAAAATTTAACAGTGCAAATGCAAATTCCTTGCTGAAAGTTTAACCAAAAGGCATTTCCAGTAGAAATGGGCTGACATATCCTGAGCATAACCATGTATAATATCCACTGAAGTTAAAAAGAGGTGCTTTGCAACATTAAACTGCAGTGTGCAGTACGTATTTTTCGGACCATAAGGTGCACGGGATTATAAGGCACATTAAGCGAAACAAAGCAGTCAGATAAATCAAACTTTATTAAACTCATTCTTCTTGCTTCCTCCACTTCTGTACCATTGATTCATTAATGTTGAATTCTCTGGCAGCTGCTCTATTCCCATGTTGTTGCAGTATATTAATGACTAACCTCGTATTGTGGATGGATTATCTCAGTTGTTCTCCTGACTGAAGTTTGGTCCGTTTACAGCATCCTGCCATGCGATTGCATTTGTCTCTAACCATGAGGAACCTTCACGTTAACTTTTATAAGTGGAAAAGTGTTAGTGTTCGTCCTCCAGCTTCACTGTTTATGTTATGCTAACATAGCTGTGTCGCTAGCGATCACGTAGCACATCATTATATACCAGCTAGCCCAACTTCAGTAACCCTACAAACGTCACTGCTGTTTAGTTTCCTGTCTTCATTTATGTTGGAAGTGATAGCAGAGCTGTACGTTTGAATTTTTTCAGAAATCTCTCAGTCAGAACATGCTAATATCATGCTTAGGTAACTAGCGAAACTAGCGAGCTAACTTCCGCTAGCTTCCTGCTAACTTCTAACTCCGTTAAATGTAATAACTTTTGTTTTCATGGATGCCTGGAAGTTAAACTTATAGTTACACCTGGTAAAGCAGCAATGCTGATCGTTTTATTAAAGATGAAAGAATTTAGACAGTTTTTAACTCTAAGTGATGCTGCAGTGTTGTTTGACCTGAAGCATACGAGTTTAGGACCCAGATTACTCCCAGATTTAAGAGCATCTTAGTCCGACAAATACGACAATAACGACGGCCGCTTGCATGTTCTGCAAAAAAATGTGCTTTGTTGTGTATCTGACGGACAAACACCAAACCAGTTCCACATCACTGAAGTTGCACCATTTTTACAAACCAATTCTGGTTCATCTGTTTCACTCAACAATCGGCCATGTGCGTATGAAAACAAAGGCACTGCGCATGCGCGTTTTACTCCCATTCTATCGCGATATTTCATTTTCCTATCGTTGCCTAACATTATACCGGTATTACCGTGAACGGTATAATATGGCCCAGCCCTAGTTTGATCTATTTTAAATGTGCATTTTTTCTGCTTTTTGTTATTTTTTTGATAATTCAGGCATTAAAGCTGTTTGGTGGACAAAGCAAAAATTACTATTCCGTCACTTTAAGCACAGAGATTTTACAGACCACTTTTTCTCCTTCAAGTCTGGTACCACACATCATAGCTCGAAGGTTTCTGAAAATAATTAAGTCTACCCATCAACGGCAAAGCACTTTAAAAGCAAACAAAAAGACCCCAACAAAACTGAGTCTACAGCTGACACATTAAGCCACTGCGCAGCCTTCTAAAATGCCTAGAGCATCATCACTTGCCGGACAGAAAAACAACCAATTGTAATCGATCCAATCTTACACCAACCCGAGTGGCATGCTCATCTATTTTAACAATTAACACCCCCCCTACAAACCAGAATATTAAAAAAAAAAGTTCAATATAAAACAGGCTGCAAAGATTTGATAACAATCCAGAGGCCACCATTTAATCAAGGCACATCCAGAGTGTAAGTGAAATGTTGGCAGCTGTGTTTTAATACTTCTGTGGCTCCCAATTACTGAATTCTTTCCTCAAATTAACAGCATGAAAAATACTTTCTAATTTATTTTCCATTCAATAATGGACGCGGTATATTTTTTTCCCTACTTGTGTCATTTTTTGTACATTTGGAATGTAAAGAATACTTGTCAAGACCAGTGTGTTGGATGGTTGTTTGGTTGATCCAATTTAATACAAGTTTGCTAGGTTAACGTTGTCTCAGGATGGTGGTGCATGAGATGAGTCATCTTGTCATCATTGTATTTTAATTTATTTAATAAACCCCCCCCAACACCCAGGATAAGCTGAAGAGAATGCATGGATGGATATTTGGTGTCCCTGTATCAATACATTGCAAAAATACTGCAACACTATGCTACTAGTTACTTTACAGAAATATTTCCATTAGATCAAAGACCCTATGTGCTTATTAAAGTAGGAGTTCTCACCACTTTTGATGTGGGATCCTTTTTCCCTTTTCTTGTTTTACCAGGAATTACCTAGATGCTGGTTCTTGTCATATCAAAGATATCTCAGTTGTTAGCGATAAATTTGCCTTTCTAAAATTTTTCCATTTTAGAAAAAATGTGTCCTAAAAACAGGAAACAGGCCGGTGTAGCTGACTTTTGTTCTCAAATGGCTATGGAAGTGCACTAAACTGCAGTTTCTGGAATGGCCACTTGAGGCTCGCTCCAAAAGGGAGTCAATTTTTGTAGAATGCACAGCTTTACAGCAGAAATAAACATCTTTATGACTTTGATCAGTATAGCAGTATTTCACCACTCTTCATGCCGCATCTCTGGCATGCACATTTTTAGAAACACTCATTGATATTAAGGCTTAAAGTTAGGGTTGTGCCTGTTTCGAGTGACAGGTGAGCGTTATTTTATCTGGTTTAGGCTGGAGTGCACTAAAGGTCCCTCCAAGAAGTCAGCTGTTGAGTTTTTCTGGTGTGTATTTAGTGCATTAGAAATGCACCTTTCTAATTAAGCAAGGTATCTTAGGAAACTCCTTTGCTCTGATAGGGCGGTATCTGATCTGGGCCTATCATAAGTGTAGTACAGGTGTAGTTACAATAAAGTTATGACGTTTTTGATATGTTACTTAAAGACATTACAGGTTGTTTGCATTCTGTTAAAAATGCAAACACATTTGAGAGGACAGAATATTAAAACTGACACACTAATAAACAGTGGCTGTCCGGACAAGTGTCAGGTTCCACAGTTATAGGATGGGACCTTGGCCCTTCTATATATGGAGGGATAAACTAGGCTAAAACTAGAGATAAACGTTGCAGGGTCCCGTCACCATCAAGTAGCCTTCGGGCATCAACCTGCTGGATGAGTCGCGGAGCCCGAGCCTAGCCTGGTTGCACAAATTGGAAATCCGCCCTTCCAGCTCAGTCTGCAGCCTACAGGGGTGCACAGCCAGCCCCCCTATAGCCCAGCTACGAGGCTAAACTCTTAACCATCCCGATTACTGCGTTAACTCGCTGAACCCGGTAGAAAGTACAAGTAACACTACGTAAGCAGAATGGGTCAATAAAGACGCGGCACTGAAAAAAAGCCTATAAACCGAGCCAAATACGCCTCATACCGGAGTCTTACGCCAACTTTGTTTCATGTATTATGTATACAATGAAACTTTCGCCAGACATACCAACAATTCACGAACAACATTTTCCGCGTTTCATAAGTAAACGTGCCGTTGTCAGTATTTTCGCTACGGGACGGTTTCCTGGTTTCAGCAGACCAACCCCGGCTGTCCCCGTAACCCTATAGCGGCGCGGAGTGCACAGCTGCCCGGCTTGCATCGTTAGGAGACTCCGCAGAGCAACCATGTTTCTTCGCACCGGCCACGGTTGTCAAAACCCACAGCACTCGGTCCACAACCCGCTAGAACGTAAGTAATGCCACTAAATGCGTTTAGACTGAGCAGAAACGCGTCGTTTGGGCGAGAAATGGAGGAAGCGATGTGAAACATTGGGAGAGTTAAGCAGGGCTAGTCGGTGACTTGAAAGACACAAGCGGGCCTCCCGGCTGCTGCAGCCCCGGCATTTTCTCCGGCAAAGAAAGCCTTTGTACTGAGCCACAGCGTACACTCCTAGCCTGGGCTATCTTCACACAAACTGAGCCACAAGGAAGGCAATTTTCAAGTTTTACTCACCTGAATATGACACAGAACGAGAGTTACGGCGACAATATGCACATTGCTGCGCTGGTTTAAGATGCTCGGAAAGCCGTCGCGGAGCTATTTCGGTGTCCGTCAGCAGCTAACACCGCGCCTGAAGCTTCTCGCCGTCGAGTGCCCCTCCGCTCCGACTGCCGGGCGGACAAGCTTCCTTAAACCGGAGTCCAACCAAGCATGGATTCATTCAAATAGGGTATCGGCTTTTCTCCCGGAAAATGTTTGCGCTTACATTTTATGTCTTGCTTCTATATTACACTGCAAAAACAATCGGTACGTCTAATATAACGATGGCGCATTTATAAAGTTAAACACTTTGCCGCCAGGAACCCTAAAGAAAATCTAGAGCATGACAGAGGATTAATACGCCTCCAAAGTTTTATCTCCTCAAACAACTCCCAGTCTATGCTCCACACTGATATCGACTCTAGAGTTCTCAGGGTGGTATAATGCAGTTTTTAGTGGCATGTGTTTGTTTTACTTGACACGTAATTCATATTTTACACTTAAAAAAACTGTAGTATTTGTATTTGTATTACACTTATACTATATTTACTTTTTACATGAAAATTAATGGTGGAAATGCATACGTCTTTTATTAGTATTATTATTATTTCTTGATCTTTTGAAGAGTCAAGTGAACATAAACTAGCATGCATAGCTGTGGGACTAACTCAGTGGAGCTCTGATCTTGAATTTACCAGGGGAGATTTAAAATTACTTTAAAAGGCACGTTTATACAGGGATCCTTATACAAACAAGCAAAATAGGGATGGATACCTCTCTAAACACCGATCAAAAGGTTTTCTGTCAAAAAGTCACGTTGTGATTTAGACTTTTTTTTTTTTTACAGCTCACAAAGCCCCCTTTCCTCTTTCAGAAGGAACACCGAAGGAAGAATGGGAGGAAAGCACAACTACTGGTGCTCAGCTTCTGCCAAGCTGACTCTACAACACTTAAACCTCCTTTAGAGTGCTTAGATTTCCAGAAAGGTTGCACAATTACAAAATCCTAATCATCACTTCCTTAGGGGCCCACAAAGTAGAAAGTTTACACCATGTCATTACAGGCGTGCTAATGTTCTTTAATTTTGGATTGTTATAGCTTAGATTTAATTCCAGTTCTCATTCAAGGGTGGAAAAAAACAAACAAACAAACAAACAAAAACCCTTCGTTTTTAAAGTTAATCAATCAATCACAGCTTCTGGGCATTTGCCCTCTGCAAGTAAGCGCAATGTATTTTGTTTGCCACAACCGTTTCAAGCCCAAAACCTAAAGATAATAAGACTACAATAAATGTTAACAATAGTGCTATAACTCTTCTCACTTTAGATGCAGATGCATTTACAGTTTTTACATTGTATTTACTAATGTTTTCTCCAAGCTGTTGGTTACGTCATGCCTTTCATTCATATTATTAATGATCCTGTAATTCTATACCACTTTTTAGGTATACACACTGGTGAAAATTTCCAGGTATCTGTCTTTTAGGAGTTCATTTGGTTAGCATTCTTCAGGTTTGCTTGCCATGACACTGTAATATTAATATATATATATAACAGTGTAATGTAATGCATATCCCTTCCTGCAACACGTAATGTTGAAAATACACTTTCCTATGTATTAATATTCCTCAGAGTAAGAAATTATTTCAAAATATTTCCCCTTTGGCATTTTACTAGACTCTTCCAAGAAAGAATTGAGCTTTTTACCATCTATCATTGTTTGCTTTCTCTGAACTTTCCACCCGATCCTCATCTTGTGTCTTGGCTTTTGGCTGGGACCAAGTTTTTATTACTCTCTGCCACTCACTTTTTAAAACTTTAAAATCAGTTTTCCTGAAGATATGGAAAAATATGTCTAAATAGGTCAAAATGACAGAGGTGCTGTTACACCAAAAGTCTTAAAAGTGGATGTTTTAATTAACATAAACACTGGTAGTTGAGTTTTATGATGAATACAGAATTCATTCTGTTTTGCACTGAAAGCTACACACAAAACATAGTGTATTTAATGTGTTTTACATTTTAAATGTATCTGTATTCAATTTATTTTAATAATAGATCGCAAACCCAACTAAAATACCAAATAAAAGAGGGTGGTACAGTGGTGGTACAAGAAATAAAAGCAGTGGGATAAAATCAGTAGGGGTTCTCAAAAAAAAAAAAAATCTTAAAAAGAGATGTAAAAGATGTCACTGGCCCCATTTCCTGAGGCAGTTTATTCCATAGCTCCAGGGCTCTGGCAGGAAATTCTCTGTTACTTTTAGGTTTTAGGCTCTAGCCTCAGGACTCAGCCTTTGTATAGGCTCAGGTACTGTATATAGCAGAAGAGAGGCCATGAAAAGCCTTTAAAGTCAACTCTAATCTGTGGTCACTTAATGGATTTTTCATCAAGGCAGGTGAAGCTGGATGTATCAACAATCTAACCTCAGGTAGAGGGAGACATGGAAAATGCTGCCACCATCTTTTAGAGACCTTATTAGGTGATCAGAACAAACTGAGGCTACTATTGAGTGAGTACAGATAGTCAGGATAAGCTTTACTATTGTTCCCATAATACTAATGGAAAATTGGTTGAGTTCTTTTCTTACTCTTCTTCTCTCCCCATTCAGCTAAACTCCTCAATATAAATGAGCACTGGTGAAAAAAAGGCCTTTGAAAGGTGCAGGTACTGCACTTGAACATTTGCTGCCATTAGATATGAGTCAGTACATCTCACCGGAAGACGCGTTTTCATGTTAATTCAGTCAGGTTTGAAAATGTAAAATCTCTGACTGTGACTGCTCTATTGCCCTTTAAGAGTTGGAAATGTCTATGTAAAAAGAAGCACATTTGAGAAGTATTTTCTCTTTATTAGAGAGGCAAAGTCTTGTGGGACAATGAGAAAGTATTAGTGCTAGAAGATGTCATACTGTAACTACACAGCTCTGAGTAAGGCGTGCATATTAAAACACTCACTTTGCATAATTTTCCTGCAGAAAAAGAATAAAAGAAGAAGCCATTTGAGTTGTTCCAGCAGTAATTGGGTCTGTTGTCATGTAGGCACCTAGATTGACACAAGCAGCAGCAGCATGTTGGTGTACAGCGCTGACCTTGAAATGCAGTTTGCCCGGCCGTGTGGTGGTTTCATCTGCATGCAAATGAGGAAGTGGGAAGCCAGTTCTCGATGTTAGTTGATAACTGAGACTGAGACAACGGCTCACCGAGAAAAGACGTCAGAGGGCCGTGCAAATAGTTCAGACTCATTCATCTGATAACAAAACAAAAAGCCATGATGGAAAGACAAAACCCCCCAAAACTGCCTCTTTGACTTTGCTTCTTGTTCTCTGTCTCTGCTCATTTTCCAAATTGCGTTTTTAATGTGGATGCGTTGGCACGCAGGAAGTAAAAAAAGATCTTCAGCACCATGGACAGCAACTTGCTCACTCCTTAAACCCAGCCATGCCATTTCACCAAACTTGTAAAATGAAAATAAATAACAAAAAAGAAAGGATTAATATGAACAACAATCCGGGGGATTTTCATTGTGATACCTGTTAGTTAAAGGTTTTCCCTGCTCACCTGTAGTGGGCTGCCCTGAAGACTACGAAGACTAGAGCATTTACTTATTTGAAAAAAAGATTGTGAACTGAGGCAGGCGAACAGAAACCAACATTTAAATTCTTTATGCTCATTTGTATTTCTCTTTGTTGGCAGCTAGCCTGCTCTTTTTGCACGCTTTGCAATGCTTCATGTCTTGTTAAAGACCAAAGGATGATCCGATGTGTCCACTGACCAAATGAACTGAGCGACCGTGCGGTTTATTTAATCTGGACTGCAAATCCATCACGTTCTCAAGGTGCACTATAAAAATAAAATGAGCATTCATCCGTTTATGCAAATGATTAAGTGCAGATGATGTTTGAACTAAGTCTTTTTGGTCTTCTGTCTCTATCTGGGCTTCTTATTAAATTGAACCAGTGCTCACATATCCAGCAACTGTGATATTCTATTTGAATTAACTAGTGTGGCATCTCACAAATGTGAACCCGCATGCATTTGTTCAAACTTTCTCTGTGCTCATTAGTGAGTAAGCCTGCGGGTGCTTATAAAAGTTGGAAAGGATAACTTGAAGCCCACAGCTTGGCTGGATTATAGGGGTGAAAACAGGCAAGCAGAATATATAGGATGTGTTTTCTAAAATGGAACAATTGGTGCAGTTTATATTGCACTGGTATCTCCTGTGGGTCAATATGCCGATCTCCTTTGAAAAGGCAAATGCTGCTGTCCCGAGGTCACATTTTAAATGAGTGAATGCTGTGAAAGTCATGACAGTCTGCTTAAATATTTGGTTGTTTAAACATTCTGTGGACCTACTGTTTACAAAGAATAAGAAGCCCTCTTGAGGAGAGCTCATAGCTAGCAGAAATAATTGTTTCAGGTATGCCCTGCTTGCAAGACACTGATTGTAACCACAGTACATTGCAAAAGTCTTGAGCCATGCCTTATTCCTTTATATTTTGCCAGGAAAATAGGAAATTGGTGCAGTGACTTGTTGAAGCATGCAAACATCAATGGAAATACAGTACATGTATAATTCTAATGAGCCTGAAAGTTAATATTTGGTATGAGAACCTTTATTCTTCTTCACAGGCTGAACTCTCTCAGGCAAGTTTTCTTGTAAATTTGTTAAGTAGTACTCAGGAATAGTTTTCCAGGTTTCTTGAAGGACATTTCAAACCCGTCTTTGGATGGTGGCCGCCTTTTGTTCTGTTCTCTATCAAGATCATCCAACACTGCTTGAATAATGTTGGGATCTAGGGTGGGCAGTCCATGACTGATAGCGTTCCACTGGCTGTTTTTTAATCCAGGTAAGATTTTTCTGCGTTGGCAGTGCGTTTTGGGTCATTGTCATGCTGAATAACTAAGCTGTTGCCAATCAGAAAGTTTCCAGATGGTATTACATTGTGGATCAAAATCTCACCGTACTTTTGTCTATTTATAATTCCATCAATTTTGACAATATCTCCAACAGCACTGGCTGAAAAACAGCCCCGAACCTTGACAGAGCCTCTATCGTGTTTACAGATGGCTGTAGACGTTCATCGTTTCACCAAAAATCACTCCAAAAGACTTCTTTCCAATGATTAACAGTTATGCAGTAACTCCAAAGGCAATCTAAATCTGACAGTATTTTTGTCTCCAGCTACTTGCAAGTCACACATCATACACACATTTTGCTCATCCTTTACTGTTACAACTTTATGTTAAAGCGAGTTTTATCTAATCTACCACCAGATGGCAGTGTGGACCTGTGTAAAAGTTCCACTAGCCTCTGTGGTTTGTGCTTATTTACAGAGAGTAATTACTGTTTTATAGATGCATGACCTAAGGATAGATAAGATAAAACCGGCAAAAAAAAGACAAATAAATAAATAAATAAATCTAGACTACAATATGTTTAACCTAATGTTTCTTGCAGTATATGAGACACTATCTATCATTAGGACTGATGGTGCACTTTTCTCCCATTTCTTACACACAAACACACACAGAAAAGAAAAAAAATACTTGTTTTTCATATATTAGTAATGACATCTGATTGACCTAATGCTTTCCTTAGCCGCTTAATCTAACCATCAACCATCAAAAGATTCAATTCATATAAAAGATCCACGAGCAAAAAACACAATATCCCAAATTAAATGATAAATAAGCAGCATATTCTTTATGTTACACAAAGCGGATTTTGGAATTGAAATGTGTTCATATAACTCGTAATCATTCAGAAACATTCCGATTTTTTTTAGAATTTGACTTGGACCCCTCAATGGAAATGTTTAGCTTTTAATAGCTCTCAAAATCCATGCTACAGGTGGCAGCAGAGAGCCACTGTGGGCACTTCTATTTGTACCATTGGAATGAGCAAAAAGGTAGTACCGTAATAGGATTAATTATAATTCAAAGTTCATTTTAATTTGTCTCTTCTCATTCTGAATCATCCCCTTAGAGGAGCTTGACAGCCTGAATGGATGGTTGATGTTTAACAGGCTAGAATTAAACTGATCTAGAGCTTGAAATGCCACTTGGCAGGGCCATTATTTTTTTCCTAATGTAGCTGTCAAGTAGCAGAAGTGCACATGTCTTGCTGACATGTGAATTCAGAGTCTAACAAATGGAGAGTGTGCAAGTTCAAAACATTTTCGCTAGCTTACATAGATAAGGCTAAGAAATACAAGTCATGATATTAGGAAAATGGACTAAGCAGTATCAATCAAATTCTTTTTTAATCACTGTGCAGGTCATTGCAAGCAAGACCAACAATGGTACTATTATCAATAGAAAGAATTGGTGAATATAAATACATTTATAGTACATATGTGTATAAATATTTGCTCATATTGAGAGATAATGGTGTTTTCTACTCATCTTATTTAGTAATCGAATTGCCTGTGGAATAAAGCCAAGAATTCTGTTTGTTTTGCAAGCTGGAGATTTCCTCCTCCTGCAGGAGTCATCACAAACTCATTATGGGTAATCAATGAGGGCACACAATTTACTAAGAACTGTTCTCAGAATCTTTAATCTTCCCTCATAAATTTTTGAATCCATGCAAAAATTCTTTGTGGCCTGTTTTTATAAAATGTTAAAGGTATTCTTTGTTTAATCTCATAGGTGCAGAAACATAAGATCTAATGCACCTTTGTACCATCAGTAACATCTCAGCGAACCCCCAAATACGCTTCAGACAGTTTCAAAATATTCATAAGCTTTCCCACCCTCAACAGTACGAGGAGACACTGGAAAAGAAAAAAGAGAGCGCTTGAGCCCGACACAGAGATGAGAAGCTTAGGAGTTTGGTAAGGAGAGGTTTTACAATGAGACGTAAAAAAGGATGAAGACGGTGTTCAGAGAGAAAGCCAAGACCCCAGCTGTGCCCCTGCTCCCACTCAGCACACATGTATGCACATATGCAACTCCGCCCACACACAAAGAGAGTGGGCCAGTGCTGCATTTGTTTTGTTTAAAGTGGCAGATTTTTGCCAACCAGATCCACCCGCAATGGTTCTTACAAGCAAAGATGTGAAATTCAATCTAAGTGGAAAAAACACCCAAACAATTTTCACAAATTTGTAATAGCGACGATATAAACTGGAAAACACTGTGACTGTCAAATAAACCAGGTCAAACTAAATAATTCAATTTATATTCTTCCAGTCGTGATGAGGCACCTCATCGGTGCTTTTCAACACACAGCAAATTACATATTCAAGCAAAAAAACAATTTATATATATATTTTTTGGCTGAACATGGAATTTATGCAGTTTCCAAAGACTTTAATAATAATGTTTCCATGCAGCTTACTTTCTCCTGGATGTATCTGTCACCACGGTGAATGTAAAGCCTCTCAGGAACAAAACAATGCATTAGCAACTCAGGTTTTGACGTGTACGATGATTCACTGGTTCTTTGATCTCTGACATCCTATTCATGTGAATGCTTCCAAACACTCACAGCAGGTGTGAAGCATGATGGCAAAGGGGATGTATCATGTTTTGGATAAAAAGGCAAACTGTCTCTTAAATAATTTAGAAGGCTTTTTTCCTTTAACCATTTGCAGCTAGTATTTTGAGTTATTTTCTGTGGCAGCAGCAGATGCATTAGTACAAAAAATCCCAACATAATCAAGGAGCTAAATCTGATTAATTCAGCTCTGGGTTTGTGCCATGTTTAATTTGTTCTTGTATCCCACTCAGGGGAGAGTAGTGTTTGTCAGCATGTTTGCTATTGACCAACAAATGAACATGAGCAGTTATCCCATTGCGTTAGGCTCTTCTGTTGTTGCAGCCTTTTCAGGTATTCAGTGCAGTACCCCTGTTTGATGTCACAAGTTTATGTCCTTGTTTTTTTTGCCCACAGTCATTGGATAGTGATGATCTGCAATGTCATTCAGAGACCATGCTGCATAACCACTTTGATGATCCAGTAAAATAGTGAGTTTTCTGGCAGATTCTGTAGATTTTTT